TGGAAAACACGGGGGGGAAGTGTTCGTGGTTCAGGGGTAGGAGGACCCTAAGGATGGTTTGGGTGACGATCCTTCATCTGTCAAGGTTGGGGTATTATTATTATTATGGTTATTTTTATTATGAATGCTTCTCCGGTCCGTGGTAAGGGGAGCTGGCGACTTGGCACGTTGTGGGGCAGAGGGAAAAGGTAAATAGATTAAAATCAGAGAAGAATGGAAAGGAATGCGAAAAGGAGAGAGAGGGAACGAATCGTCGTCTCGGAAAGATCGAGGAGCGTAGATCAAGAGAGAAAGGATAGACTGAGGAGGTCTTTGAAATAAGAAGAATCGTAATGATCGTGAACGAAACGCATTCGGCGTGGCAGATTGGGCCGAGATGGTTTCTTACCGTTCCCTTACCGGAGACGAACCGAAACGGGTCAGCAGTGCGAACAGGCCCCGGGTAACCGTGAGAGCTGCCTGTAATTTTGAGGTATTTCTGTTACGTCACGCGAGCAGTCCACCAGTTATATTTTTGCATGTGATCGACTCGAAAGGACCGACGGTTTCCATCGACTCGCGATCTCCAGATTCCGTCGTCATCTTTTTTGCCTGCCTCTGGGGTCGTCAATGCGGGGGATTCCCTTCTGGTTCTTATTCTCATTCTGTCCCATGCCGTGAATCATCGCTTGAAGCTCCCTACCTGCTCGTCGATTTTCCTAAAAACAAAACACAACCTTCCACTTCCACCGTTCCTTTCTACCAACCATCCCGCCATCCGCTGCTTTGACACATACACACACACATACATATACATACCTACGAGCTGACCCTACTACGTCGCAAGGAGAGACGGCCATCGCATTATCTTTTATCATCTGCCCTTTCGAAGTAAGGCATGATTGCCTTGCCCATATCAGCGCTGCTCGCGACAACAGAGTAGCATTCATAACGTATATTCTTCCATATCGACATATCTGTTCCTCTCCCACTTCACGCCCACCATCATGAATTTGCACAGTACTGAAACTCGAAACGAGAACGGCCAGGACAGTCCGAACCCTCATCCCGGTCCCTTTGGCTGTAGGTAGTCCGACAGACCTTGTGGCCTTTTTTTTTTTTTTTTTTTTTTTTCACACTCCTAATCAGTCTTTCTTTCTAGATTCTTTCCTCTCCCCCATGGATACACCTTATGAGCCTGCTCCAGCGCTGCCCTCCGGCCCAGCTCTACTTGACGATAATGAGTCAAATATGCTTGATAACTTTTTCACGACCATGAATTCCCAAAGTTTTACGAATGATTTCTGGCTACCTGGCCAACAACCTAAACCTCTCGATTCTGCAAGTCTTGGATGGTCGGACGAGCTCCCTCCAAACTTCGAAGGCTCAACAACCTCACTCTCACAACTACCTATGCCGAGTCGCGGTTTGGAGAAATCCGGCATGGAATTCCTTCCGACCATGCACGGTGGGAACCCAGATATCTTCGCGGCAGCCTCTATGTTATATCAAAATGGAATTACTGGGACCGAATTCAACCCTTCCTTCGATCATCATTCATTCTCAACTTTCTCCGGCATGGACCTTCACAGCGCCAGGCTAAACGGTCACGACAAGAGCCAGCAGCAACAGCCATCCCAGCCACCGGCTCCCTCACCCACTGCACGCGCCCCTGTCGCTTTTCATACGTCAGAAATGATGTTTGATGTACGGCAACCCATATCTGCTGAACAGCAAGCGACTGCGAAAGTCCGGCCGCTCCACTGGGGCTCTGATGTCAGCTTTATGGATCAAGGTTATGTGGCGCCTCCCGACCAACCTGACGAAGAGCAACGAACGAAGGAGTTGCTTGGGAATTTAGAATGTCTTGAGCGTCAAAGCAGCGCTGCAAATACGAGAGCGCCTAGTCCCGAGCGGATGGCCAACGCCCATCAGACAGCATGGACAGAATCACATCCCGCTGGACAGTTTAACAACCTAAGGAGGGAGTACAGCAGCAATATGGAAGACTTGTCTCAGCCCAAAAAACGACAGAAGACGCTGATTAAGGAAGAAGATGACGAGTCAGATGGAGATACATCGAGGCCCCGATCAAGGAGATCTCGAGGCTCAAGCTACACCAAATCGAGACGAATGTCAGCTGATGGAATCCGGAAATCCAAAGCTCAACAAAGCTCGAAAGCCGCACGCGAGAATTTGACTGAAGAACAAAAACGGAGCAATCACATCCTCTCGGAGCAAAAGCGCAGAAATCTTATTCGGCAGGGTTTCGATGACCTTTGCTCCCTTGTGCCCGGGCTCAGGGGTGGTGGATTTAGCAAAAGCGCCATGCTCACACAAGCTGCAGATTGGCTTGAGGAGTTATTGCGTGGAAACGAGATCCTCACAGCTCAGCTGTCAGAACTCAAAACCATGAATGGGTTGGTGATGCCACGATGATTTGCATATGACAATACCTTTCACGAGATCACGACAACTCCTTTTCAGACAAATGTTCTCTTCAGCGGTACAACAAAAAAAAGGCAAAAGGGGTGCCCTTCCTCCAGCTGGTTTGGTTTTACACGGTTATAGCGTTTTAACAGGACGGACAAATCTGGCTGAAACTTTGGGTGCTGTCTCTTTGGCGTTTACAATCAAGGGTAATGGTTCCATCCCTTGGATTGGATACGGTTTTTTATTTTTTCCCCATTATCTTTGTTCTTTTTTTCCTTCTAGTCTCGCCTATCTAAGGCAGAGCGTTCTATACCCCATAATACCTCGCTAGGCCTTTACCTGGGTCCATCTCGGTCTGTATATAGATTCAAATTTCAGGTTGCGCATAGCCTAAGTGGCATAAACTAAGTGATTCTTAAAATTGATTGCTGGCTTCCTGTGGTCATACATGAAGAGTATCTAGGGTATTTTTCTCTCATTCACTCAGTAAACGTTACGCTTCCAGCCCTAGTGCTACGTAGTAGATCACTTACTCGGAGAATGGGTGGTCAAGAGGTACCTAGGTTGGCACCTGGTAAACTACCAAGCCATATGCTTTGCCTAGGGATCCATCACCTTTCTTTCTTATCCCGAGTGGTTATACAAACGATTGACTAACATGTGGACATGTGATACGATTGTCCAGTAGATGCCTAAAGTAGTTTAGCGCCATTCCGATTACATGTGACAGCCTGCCCGCGTTGATCTCGAGCTGGAAGTCAACATGTAAACAACAAGAAAGCTACCGCTTCCCGAATCGCCTTGCAGCTGCCAAGCGATAATGATATCCGGTTGGAAGATCTTGTCAAGTTTTTAACCACTAATCAGTGTCTGGATTCTTTTTCTATCATTTTAATGCCTCCCAAACGCAAACGCCCCAGAGACGGGCAGGACCAAGAAGACGACGTACGCGACAAGCGATTCTCTTATCTCAAACCCCAAGTTCGCCAGATATCCGAACGGACTATCAAGTCGAAATGGTCTACGCTACCAGAGCCTGTCCAGGACAAGGTCCGTGACATGTTTCGAGCTCTTGAGCGCCCTGTCATTGTGCGGCAGCAAAATGAACGCAAGCGCATCGAGGCGCAGGCGGCCGTTCAAGCTGTAGTAAAGAAGTACGTGGGGCGAAACAAATTTATTTCTGCTATACCGTAAGAACTACCAAAGCTAACAGAAAACCCCTCCCTTCTTTCTTGAAGTCTCGGCAAGAGATTACCTAGAATGCCATTCCCTCCCATCACCAAAGACTCGGCTTTTGAATACGAAGCAGCGCTCAACGAACATGTAGGAACGCCAGCCTACCGTTTTCTTAAATTTTGCTGACAAGTCAATGCAGAGTGCCTTAGAAGCTGGTCTGGCTACCGTGACGGATAGCATTGACATCTTGAAAGCTGAGATCGAGAAAGAGGAGGCTTCCCTTGCCAAGGAAACAAAGCAGCTGCACGATATGGAGAAAAACAAGAAACGTGCTGAGACGGAAAGAAAGCGACAATTTAGAAATGTAAATCTGTCAGCGACTCCTCTGGTCTGGGTTACTGATGTTGACCGCTCTCTAGGAACACCCCGTACTTCGAAAGCTCGACTCCGCCCTCCAGAAGGGAGACCCAAAGCAGGCGCATTTCCAAATTTCCCTAGGGAAAGACTCTCAAACAACCTTTGACGAGGTACGGCTCCTACATCAATCCTATTCAGGACTTTGCTAACGTATCTATTAGCTTGAGGAAGACCCCGAGCTTGCCGGGCTGCTCAAGCAGTTGAACGGCCATCTTACATCGATGCAGAGCAACATGGCTCCGATGGCCGGCTTGAGAGATGCGATTACACGGTCTGATGCAGCATTAAGTTTGACCTCTCTATCGGGAGACTGAATATTGTTTCTTCGAGAGAGAACAAATGTCTGACTAGGTAGAAATGTCGTCGAACGGAGCCCGAATCTCCAACTTGACCAGTCGTTTCTACCTACCATCTGGCCACTGTCACCGATGATGTTGCAAACAGGAAGTTTTTGATGGTTGAAATATCGCTTCGTGTGGCTAAAGGTGACTGATGGATAGATTTGGTGCTACGGTAGTATTTCTCGGGTTGCCTGGTCGTTGGGACCTGTTGAGCTAGCCATGGTTTGGGTAGACCCGACAAAGAAGATGATATCCATATCGACCTCTGGCATGAAACTAGGCCAGGTCATATACACGATCAAGTTGGTTCGAACAGGATCGTCCAGGGCATGAAGGGCACTTGGTAGCGAGGAGGCTGTGCATGACCTACCAAGCCAAAGTCCAGTGGCACCCTGACGTCTATATTTTATATACTACCTAGGTGAAAACGATATCAATACTATGGTAGCCATCCAAAAAAATTTGATTTCACTCATCATTATTAGCAATTTGTAGAAGCTCTAACTAACCATAAGGTTTTGGTGGAAGGTAGTTATTATTTATTGACTGATTTGGTAGAACAGACCCAGAGGCCAGGCCAGGCAGAGAAGAGAGTGAGTGTGTGTGTGCTTGCTGGCCACAAAAAAATTCACCAAAAAAGAAATCGACAGAAAATGGAGTTATGGGGGATCGAACCCCAGACCTCTCGTATTTTCTCGAGATATCCTATTTAGGAAATCACGTGCAAAACGAGCGCTCTACCACTGAGCTATAACCCCGAGTAGATATGATTATTTTGTCTTAAGTTTATTATGATCCAAAGGGGTTTTTATTGATCGGCCACAGTGGAAATGTCAGGAAGGCTTCAACCATATTGTGGATACAGGCAATAAATTAATTGATACCTTTGTTGACCCTTCTGTCGGTTTATCATTAATTAATACTTATGTAATATATATAACCTAGTTAGTTATAGAGTTGGCACTTACGCACAAGCTAAGGTAGTAGTGTAGAGAAAGCCAGTATTTTGTGGTGACAATTCATGTTATTTGAAGCAATCTAACTAAGCTATTGTATCACGATATATGAACTTACTGCTTCCTGTAATGCTGTACTTCCTGTTGTAGAAGTGAGTATATTCACAGGGTCGAAATGCTTCTGTTTCTGTAGATTCTACAGGTTCTTTTCTCTCTTGGAAAATGCGCCATAGTCATAGACAAAAATGGGGGAAGAAAAGAACTCTACAGCTTGTAGATATCAATACCTGGCACCCAAGCTGAATTTGTGGATCTGGCAGCAATAGTGCATGTGGTATGCATCGGTGTCTTTTTCTTCAACTTCTGTGAAACAATGCCACCAACACATGCTATTTAGACCCAAATATCAAAAATCGTTAGTCCTCGGGATCTCCAGTAGCTTGACAGATGGACGGTAGGTTTCAGGAACCCACTAGGACTAAGAACCTGCGAGAGAGTGGTTAGGTTGAGGCATTTTCACTTGGGGGTGTAAGGTCCGAACTCAAGTCTTTCACCACAAACCAATTATGACTGAAGGCGGGGAAACCAATGATGAAGAAGAATAACGAACTCATCTGCAAAGAGCGAAAATAGAAAATAATATATGCCTCCCTACCTACCTTCTTACACCGACCGAGGTAAGGGAAAAAGGGCACATGGAGAATCTCCGAGGTGATGGTTGCCTTTCGCAAGGCAGTTGGATGACGGGAGCGCCAATAATGCGGAGGCGTTCGGGAAAAGATGGGCCCGGCTGCTTGAAGAGTCAAGCAAGTCCCAGCGGGGGAAATGAGTCGATCCTTCAATTATGATACTTCCTCGAACCGTCACCACCACAACCACCAACCACTTATTACCACGACCACTATCACTGCCGTCCCTCCTTCCTTCTCCCATCCTGTCACCGCTCGAATAGTTTCTTTTCTCCGTGGGCCTCTTGATTGCGACAACTTCGCAGCTAGCCCGGCCTCTGCGCCACCCGCTTTGCGCCCAGCCCATGATCCGAAAAAAGCGTCGCGCAGACAAGATCCGGACCCGATCATCAATTCAGAGACTGAACCTCCGAGAAACACAAAGCCGCCATGGCCGAAGGTGATGCGACCACCAGGGATGTCTCTGCACATGAACCCCAACACACCTCTCCGGCATCCAAGCCCGAGAATATTACCGCGGGGGCCCATACCAGCCCGAAGAAACGTCGCAAGGTTAATCATGGTAAGCAAACAGTCCCCCCCCATGCATTCTCCTACAAGGATCATGGCAGCGACTTGTCATCATCGCAACCAATCCTTCCGATAACTGTCCGAACCGCCTCGCTGACTACAAGTCGCCATGTCTACAGCCTGCGTCTACTGTCGACGATCGGTAAGCCTGACGGTCCCCTCTACGTTGTAGTCTTTCTGTGTGAAGGCACAATTGTTTTGCAAACTTCTACCGTGTCCGAAACAATCGGCTGGCTTATATTTATATCCGAATTGGTTTGCTGACGGAAGACTATTTGCCCCCGTGGTACAGCATATGACTTGCGACTCGGTACGACCCTCCCAATCTTCTACTCGTACAGCCTATCCAACCACTCTGTGAAACACAATAATGCAGGCTGCCTGATATGTCATTGATTTGCTGACACCCGCATGTTTTAACCATCAGGAACGACCATGCACAAGATGCATAAAACGCAATATTGGCCACCTGTGTCATGACGAGCCTCGTGAGCCCTCGAAACGATCCAGGAATGAACTTGATCATTCGGCTGCAGAGGAAGAACCCCTCCCAGGCAATGAGTTTTCGACCCCTCTACAAAGCATGCCAAGAAATGTCGACGTGCAAGATGCTGCTGGCCAGCAAATTGTTCATGATAACATCCCCCCATCATCTGTGAGCTCTGTGCAGCCAGGGAACCTTCCGTCTTCTTCACAACAGAGTAGGTGTACCCGTTCGATGTTATCATTTGTTTCTCCATTCTTGCTTACGCACCAGCACAGTGCTTGGGTACAACGAGTGGGCGGGTGGTCAAAGCCAGTTCCAGGACATGCACACATTTCACCCTTCTTACATGTTCAATGCCCACGAGGTGACAAATGAATACAACCTGCTTGGGGATTTTCTAAGTAGCAGCCTGTTGGATGACGGGGCTATGTTCCAGAATGATGACATTCAGGGAATATATTCCGACCCAACGTTGATTAATTCAATGGCCACTCTCGGCGGTGGCCCGAGCACATCACTGCTCCAGCAGGCCCAGATCAACCAACTATCTCAAAACCACCAGGCCCAGGGCGAACCGATCCAGGGTCCGGTCGCAACATCTGTGGCCAATGATAAGGCCAGAGAAACGTATTACATGACGGCAGCAGACCCTTCTGGATCAGACCCCCCGGAGGAGCGAATGAACAAGCTTCTGAAGGCCAAGTACGATGCTGGTCTCTTGAGACCTTTCAATTATGTGAAGGGGTATGCACGGCTGAACCAGTACATGGAGAAAAATTTGCAACAAGCTTCGCGACAAAAGATCCTGCGCCAACTCGACAAGTTTCGACCCAAGTTCCGGGAAAGAATGCAGAGTCTTACTGATATTGAGTTGATTCTTGTCGAGATGTGGTTCGAGCGGAGCTTGATGGAGTATGACCGTGTTTTTGCCAGTATGGCCATTCCAGCCTGCTGCTGGAGACGAACCGGCGAGATTTTCCGGGGCAACAAAGAGATGGCAGAATTGATCGGTATCCCGATTGAGAACCTGAGAGATGTAGGTCTATCCTAGAGATCCTATTCTTGCAGTGCGAACTGACAGTTGTGGATTAGGGTAAATTGGCAATCCACGAAATCATCGTGGAGGATCAGCTTGTGAGCTATTGGGAGAAGTTCGGCGCCATTGCTTTCGATAACACACAGAAGGCAATGCTCACTAGCTGTACATTGAAGAACCCCAACTCGAATTCACCGGGGGATGGAATCGCCTGCTGTTTCTCCTTTACAATCCGAAGAGATAATCACAACATGTAAGTGACCCAGGTGTTCTGTGCATTCTACATTGTGTCTAACTCATATACGTGCAGCCCGTCACTTATCATCGGAAATTTTTTGCCTTCACAACGTAAGAGCAAGTCATAAGGTATTAAAATCGATATATTTTCTTCTGCTATATCATCATTGGCGTTCGGACTTTGGGGGGACATAGGACTATCGAGGTACATATGATACGTACTCTTCTTGTTTGGTTCTGGGAGCCTAAAATTTATTCCTTTTTTGTATCCTTTTGGCTTTCACGGAAGCTACACAGTATTCATAGTGCTTTATATATTGTTCTGACTCGATCTGGCATTCCTCCCTCCGAATTTTTTTTTTTTGGCGTGGTTGGTTATATATAAATCTGGTTAGCCCGTCAGGTGATTCCAACCTATACTTCCTCTTGACAAACTTGTAGCATATAACTTCGCACAACCCTCGCAAGGCCTTTCTCCCCCCGTCATTATCTAGAACTTCTTTACAATCTACCTAATACTTATCTCAAACCCTCGAAGACACTCGTCTGAAACGGCACAGTCTTGTCAGCGGGAACGAGAATGTCCCTCGACAATTCTGAAATCAGAGTCGATGCTATCTTAGGTAACTGCTCATGATCTGTTGAATAGGATTAGCTACCACTCTGTCATACTTTGTATCATGTTGATGTTTTGTTCATGGCAGCATTCGCTCGACTACTTCAGGATCGGATTGCCGCCATCGCCTCTTCAACTACAACTACAACTCCGAGTGACGAGATTCTCTCCACACTCGACGGCTATACTACCAAAAACCCTCTATTTGATGGGCCCTTGTCTGCATCTGCACGTCTTCAGTTGGATACCGCGGGTGTGAAACTATGGAACGCTTGTGCGCAAACATCACCAGGAGCCCTCAATAGTACTGCATCGGAGTGGATATGTAAAGGTATGTTTGAACGCTGGAGTTAATCCGATGTATCGCATGACCCAAATAAAATCTGTATAGCGAAAGCTTTTGCATTTCGGATGCTTGGTGAAGCTACGCAGAAAAATGCATCTGGTATGTTTAACCCTTTGAAAGACATAGCTTAGGTGATGACCAAGCTTCAGGATGTCCCAGGCTCATTGAGGTGGGCTTGAAGGCTGTCAAGTGTAGTATTGGTATAAAAATTTACGGCTCATATACCACAAGCGAAGGCTAACACAATGTAGAGAATGGACTCCTTGACCTAAGTCAACACCTCGTCGAGATGACAGCCCTTCGTTTGGATGCTCTTGGCAAATCAGAAGCCAATCATAATCTACTCAAACACAAATCCCTATCGACGCGATACTACATGCTTCGGGTTTATTTGGCGAGTGAAGTAACAGGAGCGTGAAAGGAGACATAAAACGCTAACGAGTCGGAATAGGCATGGCACCAGGGAAGACCGGATATTGCCGATCATCTGTACACTCAATTGTCAGAGCCAAAGACAGAAGAAGATCATGCAATAGAGGCCGAAGTGTGTTATAAAGTCGCAGAACTGGCACTTTCAGACTCGCAGTATAAGCTAGCAGCGAAGTGGTCGGGGAGAGCGTCAGAGTTATGTTTGGAAGGGGTGCAGAGGAACGATACAGGAAAATATCTTATCGCCCACCAGCTAGGTACAAAATGTCCAGTGGCTGGGTCTACTACACCATGCTGACGCATGTAGTTCGAGCCAATCTTCCCCTTGAAGATACAGGCTCTAGACAATCACTTCAGCGAGCTTTGGATGTTATCAAAGAAGTAATATATAT